TGTGTGTGTGTGTGTGTGTGTGTGTGTGTGTGTGTGTGTGTGTGTGTGTGTGTGTGTGTGTGTGTGTTAATTGTTTTTATTATGGGTGTGAACGTGTTGACAACACACACTCAGCCTGCAGCGTTTGAAGCAGCAGATCTGTCTCGGTGACTCTTGTTTCAGTTATTTGTCACAAACTAATTAAAAGCTGCAGCTTCTCTTCTCACTACTTTAAATTATATAAACTGTAATTGCCTTTATGAACTACACTTATCGTGTGTGTGTGTCATCTGGTTTTTATTTTTATTTTTTTACCTCTTTGGGCAGAATATTCAATCAGTCAACTTCTTCATCTGAATCAAAAAGTTTGATCGTTTAGTGTCGGCCGAGCTTCATGCTAACAGCTAACAGCTGATGAACTCACCTGCTCCAGTTCCCTGATGGAGAAATAAAGAAACGTGTTCAAGACACTGAGCAGGAGTTTGAAACTCCACGTTATTCACAGTTCATTCACTGATTAAACAGATTTTTCTCTTTTCTCCGCCCCTACAGCTCCACTGGCTCTGTCTCCGTCTCCATGGTGAAGTGGGCGGGGTCTGATGTCAGCCCCTCCCTCTGGTCTTGTCGACACTCCTGCCATGCCGACCATGGTTTCTAGGCTGCCCAAGTTCGGTTCGCGGCCCAAATCCATCACAGCCTCCAATGGTGCTCCGACTATCCCGACTGCGAACGCCATCATCAGCGCTGTTGCGACCAGCACCCACCTCACCAACGGGTTCTACCATCATCCTGGCCCGATGGGGGTCAATGGTAGTGTAACAGCGCCCCCCTCTGCTGTCAAGAAGAATGGATTCATAAGAGTGCCGACTTCGTTTTCCATGAAATGGAGGAAGGACAACAGCATAACAGAGGATGGCGGCACGTATGCAGAGGGGGAATGGAAAAAAGGAACAGGCGGGAATGTTGGGCAGAATCGCTCCGGCAACAACATCCATCAGTATTATTACCAACGGCAGCAGGGATCACCAATGGTGTCACAGAGAGACGCCAAAAAGTCGACCACATCCTCTGCAGGAAAAGTGCGTGGTTATAGTCCACCTGCGACATCGTCGTCGTCCCCGGCACCACAGTCCAGCCCAAGAACACTTCCTGTTTCTAAACTTGGATCTCCCGGTTCCAAACTGAGCCAGATTACATCCAGGATGACCAACGAGACGAAACGGGCTACAAATGGTCTCGCCGAATCTCGACCTCGGACTGTATCCAATAGTTCTCTGAGACAGCCTCACAGTTTTGCTCGTCCTGGTTCTGGTCCCGGTTCTCGATCCGGTTCCCCCTTCCAGAAGAAACCGCCGGCCAGCCGCTCATACTCCAGCGACAGCCTACGCGCCGCTCAGCCTGTCCAGCTGTCTGAAAACGACCGGTTTCGGTCGCGTAGCCTCACCCAGGTCAGACAGCAGCCCTTACCCATCCTCACCCGTTCTTACTCCAATAAGAAAACTGCTGAGCGAGGCCTAAAAGAATCAACCACTGCCGCCTCTCTGGCTCCACCTAGAGGCAGTTTGGTAAAATCACCTGTTATTAGCCAGACTCCAGAGGGAGGAGGGGGAGGGGTCAAAGCTTCTGGGAGGTCAGGGGTCAGCATCCCCTCCCTCCTACCCCCCTCTGCCTTAAAGAAACCCCTCCTCCCCAGCCTTGGCCCCGCCTCCAAACCCAGTGGCATAAGCTACAAGCTGTCACGCCCATCACTCATCAAGCAGCCCCGCCCCCTACGGGTGACCCCAGCCAGTGTGTCAGGAGGTGAGCAGGAAGTGAACCCAGGACTGAAGTCTACGTCAGAAAACAGCCCAGGTATGAGATTCTGTGCTAACCACTGCTGCCCCCTACTGTTTATCTCTGTTAATCTCTTTTCTAACGACGTCTCATCTGTTTCTGCTTCTCACGAATCTCTGATCCACCCCCGCCCCTCAGAAAGAAGCCCAGAGGCTCCAGAGCCAGAGGGGCTGTCGACGGAGCCTCTATTCCAGACAGAGGTGTCGATTGTGGCGGAGACACTGGAGGACATGTCCCTGTCTTCAGCGTCATCTCTGGACAGAAACGACACCAGTCAGGAGTATATGGACGACTTCGACAACCTTGGTAAAGATGAAGAAAACAAACTGATACGTGTGTGTGTGTGTGTGTGCGCGTGCGTGTGCGCGTGCGCGCGTGCGTGCGTGTGTGTGTGTGTGTCACAGATCAATATAATTATTGTATCTTTATTATCTTTTGTTTGTTTGTAGGAAATGGAGGAGTTGGTTTGATGCTCCTTTCCTCCAAAAACGATGAAGATGACTCGGGGCTCGACCAATCATGTGCCAGGTTTGACGAGGACAAGGCGGCTGTTAACGGAGTCACTAAGGCAACGGGTCTGTGTTTTCTGGAGGACGGTGTGGACTGGGCGGGCGTGAGGTTAAGTGGTGAGTGAGGTGTGATTGACAGGTTAAGATGGTTGTGGAAATGAAATATTAAAGATTGTTTCTCTCCAGGTGATCGAGCGCAGCATCGTTTGACCGAGCTCTCACGCAGGAGAAGGTCGAGTCAGCCGGATTATCACGAGCAGGTACAACGATTAAAACAATCAATCACAGTTTACCGCTCTTCTTTTGAGAATCGATATTTGGTGAAATAGAATTCTATTGAGATTATGTTTTATACAATCAAATCAAATATAACCTGAAATCTCACTTTGTGTCAAAATGAGTAAGACGCGTTGGCCTCCTGTATCATATCGCTAAAATGATTTAATTATACGGATAAAAAATATGCAGAGTGTTTTATGATACAGTTTACGGGTGACTAACAGGTTTTATACTTTCTGTCAGGAGGATTTTAAATATTGAAATAATTAAAATTAAAATGATCCTGCAGGCTGAACAGATGGTTGATATGAAATAATGATTAAACAGAGTGAGTGACTGGAAACAGATTCACTAAAATCACTTTTACTGTTTGTTGGCTGTAGGATTTCAAAATGTTTCCTTAGCACCGTTTACACAAGTTCAGCTAAACAACAGGTTTTAACACGATGATAATAATAAGCTCAGATTTAAATGTTAAAACAGTTTGAAACTCGTGCACTTAAAGGTTAGAAACTATAGATTAAAACCAATATAATTAAAAAATAGATATTAGAAACTACAACATATCTTAGAGAGGTTGAAACATAATGATTAAGATAAAGATTAAATATTCTGATGGATAATCAGGGCTGTGATTTTATTCATTGTTACAAACATCAGATTTTGATCACAATTCAAATATGATAAAGACAGATGGCAATTTAAATAAATCTACGTCCTCCCCTTCCGTCTGCAGGGTGGTTCGTCCCTGGATCTCTCACCCTCTGACAGCTGTGGGTCGGGGGGCACCTACATGTGGGACGAGGAGGGTCTGGAGCCCCTGGGAGGCTCCGTCACCTCCGCTTCCATCAACACCAACAGCAACACCACCCACCACATCGGGAGCTTCGACTCAGACGTCAACAGCATCGTAAGGCCTGTGTGTGTGTCTGTGTGTGCGCCTGTGTGTGTGGTCCAAAATAACACAATCAAGACCAGATAATCACAATTGACAGAGAACTGAGTCAAAGGAATGAACTGATCTGAGGACAGTTTGTAGTTCATTTAAAAGTTCTATGGAACCTGAAACCAGCTCAGTTGAGTCATCAGTTTGATTTTGGCTCAGTTCCAGTAAAACACAGAGAAACCAGAGAGTTTAATATTCCAGCTCCGTCCTCTCTAACACACCAGGACACTTTCTCACAATCCACCAGATCCAGCTCCTGGGTCGTGTGTGTGGCATCAGACGACAGTGAGCAGATTGAATAGTTCATGAAATGGAGAAACTGATCAATCATCACATTTCATTTGTATTGTCATATTCACAGATCCCAGTTTGTCTCATATTCAGTTTGTCTCATATCCAGTTTGTCTCATCGATGTCAACAAGCAGCAACGTCCTTTGTCCTTCACTCAACTAGAGTCAAACTACAGAGACACTTTCTGAGCAGTAACTGAAGCTCAGAGTCACATGTGAGGATCCGTCTCCAGGACACGAGGACAATAGATGCTGATGAACTGAAGACATCAACACATTGACACATTCACTACATCAGAAGAAACAGTTTGGAACATGATGGAAAAGTTTGTGTCAGAGCAGAGAGTCAAAGTGAATCAGGTTCTGATCCTGTTTTAATATTTGAGTTGTTAGAAACATTTAAAACCTTCAGGAAGTCGATGATCTTTAAATCATGAGTTCACGTCAGTCGCAGTCATCGTCAGGTCAGTTAACTCTGAGTGAAGCCCTTTGGCTCCCTCTACTGTCTGAGCTGCTCACTGCGCTGGTGTCCTGTGTGAAGGTGACGCAGCTGATAACAGACCTTTAGCGTCAGTTGTCAGAAGGACACATATCTAGATATCAACTGTAATAAAAAACATTCAATGAAATGTTTCATTAAACTGAATAATTAAAATAAAACTGATTCTGAATGTGAGAGTGAATTGATTAATGGTGCAGTTTGTAAAATCTATTCTCTCAGTCGTCCCATATTCTTCTTCCACCTGATGGTCGTGTGTTTCTTGCTGAAATGCACTGTGGGAGTTGTATGATCAGTTTGTTTGATCACTGGTTGTGTGTCGTGTTCAGAGCTTGACTCTGCCTCATCACACTGAGAGCTCGTTAATGAGCTCCCCGTCTCCTGTGTCCTCTGTGTTAATGAGCTGTGATTGACCCTAATGAGCTTCTGAGCCTTAATGATGTGACAACATCAACTTGTCAACTCATCTCTGAATTCTCTTTCTTTTATCGTCTAATTTGTTCAACCTGTTTCTTCAGCAGTTTCCATATAAAATTGTATTTCACACAAAGAGACCAGTAGGGGTCAGTGTTGCTCTGAGGACAAACCTGACACCAGTAGAAAAACTATCGAGTGTTTCTTTCTTGAGAAAGATGGTCGGAACTAAAAAAGCTGATTTGTTTGTCGCTGCCGTGAAGTCAAGTGAGAAATCTGCCAAATGATTGTTTGTTTGGTTTCAATACTGAAACATGGATTAGTTTGGAGGAGGAGGAGTTGAGAAGAGAGGAAGATTAAAAATATGAGGAGGAGAGGATCAGAGCAGGAGGTGAGGAAAAAGAAGAGAAAGTTTCAACAATGAAAACTGATGAAACTAAACTTAAACTGAATAAAGTCACTTTTTTAAAATTAACAATCACAGAATCACTTTCATCCATTGATAAGAACTGAACAGCAAAGTCATTAAAGAACCTGCAGAGTCACATGTTGTGTCCTACTTAGAGAATCCTGAGTGGAATAGTTCATGCTGCCAAAGATGTGTGACACACTCCGTCCATTGAGTGTAAATAAAGACGGACACTGCGTCTCCATCTTGTCTCACCATACAAAACCTGAGCCAAAATATCTGGGAGCTGACGCACACACATGCCCATCCAATCACGAGTCAGTCTCAGCCGTCAATCATCCACCAAACTAAAAGTGATGAACTTCAAATCAAAAGACTGAAACTAAAATCCAAGTTAAAGAGCAGAGGAGGAAGAGGAGAGACTGATTTAAAGAAGAGAGAGAGAGAATACGAAGAAAAGATCGAAGGAGGCAGAAGGAAAAGATAGTTTGGAAGAAAAGGGAAGCGTGAAGAGGAGAGGAGAAGAAAGGATGAGAAAGAAGAGGATGAAGGAAGAGAAGATGACAAAAAAAGGAGGAACAGCGATAAGAGGAGATGAGGTAATATGTTGATGTGGATGACTGAGCTCAGCAGCGTGTGTGTGCGTGTGCGTGCGTGCGTGTGTGTGTGTGTGTGTGT